TATTTGCTCGGGTCTTAACCGTGTACTGTATGAAAAGTTTTTTAATTTCAAAATAAACTACGCGGAATAGGAAGTCCTAGTTATATTAGTGCACTAATTTACGGCCTTTTTATTACGTTGAGTTCATTCCTTTGTAATTTTAATATAAGTATATAATTTTCTATTAGTAGCTACTTTAAAAATAATTTTAAAATCTTTTATTATAATAATTTATTATAATATAATAAAAAAATCTTCATTTTCTGAATGTGAGGAAAACGTATGAGACTGGACTTTTTTTGGATTGTCGGGATAATCATAAGAGATCACAGTTGTAAGTGCGATTAAGAGTCAAAAGTAATCTAAATTTTTTAAAATTAAAACAAGCAGAAATCGTATTGAAAATACCTCATCTTTGCTTACATAGTGCCCCTCATGTTTAATGCAAATGTGTCTCGTCAAAAAAAAAAAAAAAAAAAAAAAAAAAAAAAAATCATACAGTACATTGGCAGTGAGAGAAAAGAGATGATGCATCTATACTGTTATCGATATGCTGCTTGTTATATCTCACTGTCTTATGACATCGAATCCGGCCTTCAGGTGTTAACCTAATCCATGTGTTAACCTTCTAAAGCAATATAGCAGAAATTATCAGTGCTAAATGTCATTCAACTGATCAACTGTGTGTTGGTTTCTCATTTTTATCATCCCAGAATAGAATAAATGCTTGTTTCTTCTCCTTATATTTGTTCAAAAATCGTCCGACTATTTTAGTTGTTATATGCTGTTGTATTTTCTACTAGGCAGCGCGCAGTGATCACTCAAAGTTCAAGAAACAGCACATTAATTGCTGCATGATTTTGATTTTTTTCTATCCGTGTTAAGGTTAATTTTGGCTTTTTCTCATGTATTTTTTAAAACACACAGATTCTAAAAATATGAGCTACTTAGATTTATTTGATAGTGATATAAGGATCTTAAGTTTGACTAACGTTTATTTTGTTTTAAAACTTTACTGTCCTCTCTTATTTTCTACTTCCGGCCAGAATAAACGCTTTAATCGGTTTGTGCAAATTGTACTTGCTAACGCTCAAATATTTAAGTTGTGGCTTTTCGAGAAGAACAGAGTTAGATGGAGAAAGCGAGCCTCCTTGCCACTGTATTTCAGGCGAGCTTTCAATCAGTTGCTGTCCGCCTTTAAGGCCAGAGGTTTAGACCTCTTGATATCTAAGACGTATTGTATTTTTCCGCAGTTTGCGTTCTACATACGCAATAATCTGAAAGGCCAACCTTAGTGTTAGTCATCTGTGTAAAGTATTTAAAGTGTAGCTCTTATTTAAATTTAGTTAGAAGCGCTTGCAATCTCGTGGAGAATAAAGGGTAAAGTTAACTCTTCCTGCTTGTATGGTCCATTCCACACATACTCGGACATAGCTTAAGTAAGCTGCCGTTCAGGATATTAGATGTTCGCTAAACAGATTAGACGATCAAACAGTCCTGACAGTGGCACCCGAACTAAAAGGGTGGTGGATGCTGACTCTTCACACCCAGGATTTGGCGATTGGGTCCCCTAAAAATCCCAGTCGCCCTTTAAAAGGGAGAGTATACAAGGTATTTCTCCCACCTTCTCTGGGCGCGTATTCCATAGGTCCGCGGTTCGATTTCCGATCAACCGCGAAGGCGGTTGCTCATTTTTCATCTTGCCTGCTTCCAAAATTAACCTAATGTCTCTACAGTGAAATATGAATTTTTTGTGTTTTGAAATAAAAGAAGCTCTTTGACAACATCATAAAGCTTTATTCTTCGTTTACAAATCATCAGCGCACGTTATTTAAACGAACATAATCAACATCATTATAAACAACTATTTTAACATTTCTTTAAATTATAACTACAGTGATATTTATATGCACGAACTACTTTAATTCCTTCTTATACAATGCTTAAAAAATATTCGCAGAAACTGGATTAAAGCGAAGAGCATTAAATTCTGCAGGCCAAAACTTACTGTAGAAATAACCTAGATCTAATAATTTGTAGTGATATGAAATGTCAGAAATAACCTGCATTGAACATACAACAAATATTGTGCTGTTATATACAAATAACACTTAAACATATAACAGTTACATAACATGAACATTTAGATTGTGAGGAAGATACATGGATTTCAGTGTGCAGAGAAATCTCTGGTTACACTTTTTGTATTAATTAACACTAATTTTTTTATATTTAAAGTATTAATTATATCATCTTGTGATTTTTATTACTTTGGCATACTCGTAGAAGTTGCAACGAGAAAATTCTCCTTTCAGAAACAGTTATTACAAAGTAGCATCGAGAAGATTCATTCGCGAAACAGAAAGCATGGATAAAACACTACATTTTCAGAATCTGGTAGGATTCATTATATTATATTACGAAGAGGTGACTCATATCCTCATATAACAACTAAAACATCCCCTCCCTTTTTTCTGTTTATGTGATGTGCATTTGCTGTTGTCGGAGTTCGAATTGCACTTGTGAAAAACAAGTAGATGTCACCTAGTATAATAGAATCTATTCACATTTTGAATAAAATTTATCATAGTATACAGATTCAGAAAAGTGGACAAGGCTATTCAAATTTTAAAAATTTTCCTGCATTATGTATGGTCTCCATCCTCTTCAAGATGGTCATTTTCTGCATTCATGCACCTATCGTTTGACCTAAGAATAAAAAGTTCTCTAGAAGTTCTTATTTTTAATTGAATTATATTAATACAGCCAGTGCCTCAATCTTAATCGTGAGTTTTATTATTAGTTGTGAGCTGGAGTTACAAACCTCAAACTGCGAAACTTCGAGTTTGCGAGGACAAAAGAGGCCAAAGAAGGAGGGCAACGCAAACATTGTTCATCATTTATTCCACATGAAGACATTTGTTCACCAAGAATTTGTCCCAACAAATCAGATAGATGTTGAATGGTTTTGTATGTCAAATTTTGACGCAGTTCACAGACAATACTCACTGCAAAAGATGTTATTTCTGCAAGATGATTTTTTTCTGGTTGCTTCACTATGGCAACACACCAAGATACAGTACCCTGAAGCAGCAACAATTTGCAAAAGGGGTGGGGGGGGCAAAACTTGCAGTAGTCTGTCATTCCCTTGTTCTTCAGATCCGGTGTTCTGAGATTTTTCTTATTTCTAGTACTAGCGAAGAGTCACCATTTTTACCCAGTTTCAGGCTAAACTATGGAAAGTCCCAGATACACTTCATTTGAAATACTAGCCAGGAAGCATTCTATCCATTGACATTGGTGCGTAAATTCAGATAGGGACTATTCGGAAGGAGATGGAGGTTGATTTTTCATTTTATTCTTGATTATTTAGTTAGTTATCATTTCGATTCACCACTACTTGATTTCTATATTTGTTTCTTTGCTTGAGATCCAAATTAAAAAAATATATAAATTCATATTATTATTATTATTATTATTATTTTTCATTTCTACTTCCTAAAATTAATAATATTTGGAAAAATAGGCAATTGCGAAAGAATGTTTTCTTAAAATACAGTGTATATTTTTGAAAGAAATATAGTGTTGCTATTTATTGCTTTTAGAGAATGAATAAATTATATGTAGTTTAAATTCAATGAGATAATTTAAACAAACTTTCCAAAAATACCTTATATTTACCGCACGAATAACAAATAGCAAACTAAGAAACTAGATGGCAGCACCAACAACAAAAAATTTCGACAAAACGGTTTTGTAGTTGAAGGATTTATTGTGTGCTACGAGAGTTAAAAAAAAAAGAAAAAAAGATTGGGAGGAAGGAGAATTTAAGAATTGCATATTAGTCTAAAATACTTACTTTTCGTAGTAATGAAGCGATGAGCTAGGTAACTGTACAGTGTGATTGGCTACTTGTGCTCGTAGTTCGTATGTATAGTGTCATGTATCGGAAGTTTTATGTAGAATTAGGTATTAATACGAGAAACTGGAAACAAACAGTTTTATAAATACAGATTTAGCAATGGCAAAAATACTTAAGGGTTTTCATCCGCAGAGAACCCGTTGGCGCTTCGGGAAAGAACCCCTTTGGCGCCGTTGCACTTTACTCGCCGAGCTCGCGGTTCATCGACGATGAGCCGTAAACGTGATTTTTAGTGCATGTAAATTCAAGTTAGCAGACAAAACAATATATTAAGCATATGGTAGTAAAAATTCACAGATAATAAGCATGCAGATGTAAAACTAACCGGTTAAACGTGATATACGAAAATAAACCTGTCTTTTTTATAATATATTTCACAATACAAATAACCTTCAATAGTAATCAAATTTTCTTTAGCAGCATTGTTAATAAAACTAGAACTTTATACATTTTATTATTTTTCAAGAGTTATTTGAACTGTATTCCTTACACCAGCAATGGTTTGCTAATTTTGATGACCATGGGGATGCATCAAACTACTCTGTCGTCTTAGATAATCAATAATATTTTTTATTTCCATTTAATCAGTTATTTATGTCACACCTGCGATCCTCGGAAAGGTTATTGTTAGAAAAGCAAAAACCATAGTATCTTAATAAAATTTTACGCCATAAAAATTGGAGCCGAGAACCGGCATCTATCGACGAAAACTTCTTTAATTATACGAAAATATTTCTATCTATTCGTTGTTAAAAAATTCAGGAAAAATAACGTGGAAAATCAGAAAAATAATAATAAATAAGAGAAGAAATATATAAATCTCCAAATGAGAACAACGGCAGTGATAATTCAACAAAATGAACTCAAGAGGAATGGTTGCAACCTTCAAGCGAATAGGATGAATCCGATAGGTTACCAGGTTTGACCTATTATAGCCAAAGTTGGCGATGTTTACCGGGTTCTCTGCGGAAGTACTTCCATACTTAATTTATATGATTTGCATAATCTCTTTCTTTTCTTTTAATACCTAGTTTCGAATTAAAAAAAAAAAAAAAAAAAAAAAAAAAAAAACCTTTTTGTGTTTACAGGTGATAATTTCATTCAACAATCAATTAAAAATAAATGAATAAAAAAAGCAAATTTAAATAAAAAAAAGTTAACCAATATTATTTGTTGCGTAATTTTAGTTATTGCTAAATTCATCTTACTTTGTTAGTTATTAATCAACATACTTGCAAATACATTATGAACATTTTACAGTTTATAAAAATAAAATCAAAACTAGTATTTTGTTTTATAGATGAATAAATTCATAAGTTGAATTACTAATCATTATACAGATTCGTATATTTAACTAACTATAAATAGTCGAACAACAATTTCAAAATAAATAATAAATAAATATTTTCTTAGAAAACGATGAGAATATGACCTGGCAGTTTTAGGGCCTTTAGAGCATTGTGAGCTAAGCCCCGAAAATCGCAGCTATAACCCAACTACTAAAAACTACTAAATTACACGTTATGTAACATGAATACTACTGGAGGAAATGAAACATAATCTAGGTACATTCTTACACTGAATTATATATATATACATTGATATGTACATACTACATACAAAGCGCACTTAGCTTCAAAAAACTTGAATGAGAAAAATGGGACACGTTTAACGAAAGTATTATTTATCACTTTGTATTACTTTTTTATTTCTGTAACAAGTCACTATAAGTGTGGTATGGAAAAAGGGTTTAAAAAGATAAAATTATTTAGTTTTGTGTAATTATTTGAAAGCTGACATTTATGCCAAAAATACAAGCAACAACTTAAATTCACTTTCAACAAAATATAGTAATTTTTTAATCATGAAACCTTTTGAGCTGAATTTCATTAAGATGATTTATAATATTTTACTTCAAATTGCGACTTAAAAATATTACCCTTTCCAGATATTAAAGGCTGTAAGAAGTATTAAGACACTATCTATTTCCAGAAATAATTTTTTAAATTAGTATAGTTTTTAGAACAGTTTTTATTTGTTATTGAAAAACAGGATGCACAAACGAATATTATTATATTTTTTAAGAAATTGAAATCGGTTCAGTTTGAATTCAGTCACGTTAACATTTCTTTTACTGATATGTGATTCGAAATAAACTTTAAAATCTGCACACTAAATTTGGCACTACCTTTGTTTCTGAATACAGTTATTAGTTTCTAAAATATTTAATATACAACATGAGCTTTATTTATTTAAAATTATCTTTAAATAAAATACAGGTGCATAAAATTGTGAAATGCTGTATTTAAAATAGATGATTAAAAGTAATTATGTCATTGTTAAAGCCTCTCTCCCCTGTTCCTTCAGTTTTCCTTTTATCTTACATTTCATAATTGTTATCAACAATCTGTAATTACATTTCTAGCATGTTCTTGATTAATGATAATTCACAACTTCAAATCCATTCTCTCTCTCTCTCTATATATATATAAATTCCTAATGCTTAGCTTTTTATGTAGGTATACGTTGAAAGCTTTGTAAATCTGCTCGATTTCTGCCAACAAGATGGATGACATATGATTACTCTCTCAAGCACATTTTCAATTCGTTTTTCTTCATGTAATTTACATATTCAGTGTTGTAATTATATGTTAAACATGAGTAAACGTTTTAAACTTCTGACAATAGTATTAAAATCAAAACCTTCCATTGATTTTAGTTATAGTAGAGCCAGTAGTGAAACTGTGTTATGTTTTCTTGTTGAGAAGTAAATTATCAAACTGAGAGATTTTTCTGTGTTGTTTGTAATCTGAATACGTAAAGAGGTCATTCTTAGCTTTTAAAAAATTCAGTTTGGTCGCGAATGTATACGAAACGAATATATTTTTTAAATATGTGTTTCTAAAGTATTTTATATTAATGAGTGAATAATTAAAAGGATATTTATGCCGACTTCAATGTACTAATGCTAGAAATGTCATTAGCAGAAGCTTTCGAAAAGCTGGAGCATAATCTCTCGTTATACTATTAGGTTATTTATAATCCATACGGTCTGGCAAATACTGGCACAGCACGATACATAATATCTCCAGTTCCTCTTCTATTTGACTTGGCATACAGTAAACAGTTTTCTGAGGGCTGCTGAATCTATGGCACAGGTTCTTTAATGGTCTGTCACATAATAGCTATAGTAGCTTTAGAATTAAGCAGTTTAGAAGGAATATATATGCATCTTAAAAATTAACTGTGCCAACCCAGGCCGGTGATTATCAACTTTGTCCTAAACCTTGAAGATAATCAGTTATTACCTATGGCGTAATTTAACTGACGCTAAAATATTTTTAGTTGAATCTTTCCACACTTTTGGACTGTTAAATTAGATCATGTGACGTTAGACTGCAATGCATTTATCATCCACTTAACACGGCAAATGCTGCCATTTAATTTATGTTCTGTGTAGTTTTGAAATTAGTCGCAAGGAACGGTTGTTAATGTACTGCTTTTCAGCACTGCATAAAGTCTTTGATTTATCTTTCGAATTCAATCAATGCATAATTGTTTAATAGTTTGGTACTTTAAATGAAATCTGTACAATATGCCTAAATGATAAAATTTTAGATAATACATTTGATTTATAATAGAGCGATTTGATTATTATGAACATTTGTAACATTTATGCAAGTAATAAAAGATGCTTCCAACGCCATACATTAGATATAGTAGGATATTTTCCTATAGAAACTTTCTTTTTGATGATATAGCTAACTGATGTGATACTTTCAAATACTTTTATTTTATTGCATATACAATAAGAAGTTTTAGGAATATTAACAGCATTCACATAATTAATAAAAGATATTTCTAAAGCCGTATACTAAGTACTTGTTGTTGAATCATTTAGTTTTTCTTAAATAATAAAAGAACTATAATTGTTGCAATCGTGAAATTATCAGGACAAGCAATAGCAAAATCATTATACAAAGAGTTGCTTTCTGGCTTTAAAAACAAACAAATAAAAAAATGCTAATTTATAGTTGCCCCAGCTCCTCTTGTGACAGAAATACATTTGCAAAACTAACAATGATCAGGTAAACCGAAAGTTATGCACGACTTCATCATTGTATTATTTCATATTTAAAACATTCGACAATATTTCAATGACATTAAACTGTAACTATTTTTACAACTTCAATCACGTTAGCAAGAACAAGTTTACTATTTATTATCTGCAAATGCATATTGACCTAGATGGAAGGCGAACAAATAATATAAAATCTTGTCGATAATGACGACGTCCTTAGTAAAATGGAAACATAACATGTAAATTGTATGACACAAATGCAGTATGAAGCCAGTTTCGTTGTTATTTGTGAACCGATATTACCATTTCGTACACAACAGGAGGAAGATAGCTTTTTGAGCAAAGAGCGGCGGAAACATTTAGAGCTTTGGAACATTTTTCGGCAGATGTGATGAAATGCCCCCAGGTTAGATGATTTCAAGCTGTAGTGGCTAGAAGAGCTTTAGGGTTGATAGGAATTCGTTCCTGGCAGCTCTGCTTCCTTTGCGAATTGCATTCTGGGTTCAATCCACGCCGGAACCTCTAATAAATAAATAAATAAAATGTGTTTTTAAATAGAAACAAATCCATACGAGACATTTTCAATCAGACGTCTGTAAAAACATTGTAAAGCCGATTGCTTCTTAAATGAGTTAAACTGTGTATTATTAATATTGTAATTTTGATTTATGAAACGGATGATTAAATAGTAGACAATTGAATAGTAAGAACTGAAGTAAACATAATTAGGCGATTTGGATTTGAAGGAAGAAAGATTTGGAAAGTGTCTTACTCGTGATGTCGATGATGACAGATGGATAATTATCAGAAGCAACTATATTTTAAGAATACTGTGTTCTGTTATAAATAAATATGTACTAGGAGGCTAGTTTTATTTTACACTAATGAGCAGACAGTGTGCTGGCAAGAAAGCAAAATTCACAAAATGCACTTGTAGGAAATTTATTATCAGCTTTCGAAACTGCTGAAGCTGAAAATAATTCGAAGATGTGTTATGGTTTAATATCATTTATTACAAAATCGGTCTGAGGTTAGCAAAATCAAATTGCATAAAATCTATATTTGTACAGATTATCTCACCTCTATATATGTACCAGGCGTCGATAAGATGTAATAGATAATATATCCGGGAATGCAACTGAGAGAGGAAGCTGTAAGAAGCCATCCAACCGAGATTGACCACTTTGGGTATATATAATCTTGGATCTGCAAGTCTTTGTATTGAACCATGGCAAAGATGAAGATGCACTGGAAAGAAAGGTTTTTAGTGAAGATTTAATTTTGAAAGCTTTTAAACTAGAAATATACGAACATCCTTCACAAACTATCATTAAGTAATAAAATACTATTCTATTTTCTCCTTTTTTAGAAATTAAACTACTTTTCCCCCAAAAAATGCTGTAGATAAAAATGCTTACATTCGGCTCTCTCTCTCACACACATCCACAAAATGTTGTAGATTAAAATGCATACTCTCTGGGCACAGCAATCTTTATGACAGCTTATAAGATACTTCTCCCGTTTTCTTAGCATGCCTTCGTGGTGTGGTTCTGCACGCTGGGCGCGTATTCGGAGGTCCGTGGTTCAGTTCCTGGCGAAGGCGTTGCTCATTTTTTACATCACGCCTGCTTTCAAAAAATACATAATGTCTCTATAGTGGCGCCCAAACTAAAAGGGTGGTGGATGATGATTCTCCACACACAGGATTTGGGGGGTTGGGTTCCCTAAAAAAACCAGTCGCTCTTTAAAAGGGGGAGTATGTAAGGTATTTCTTCCGCCTTCTTAGCATGCCTTCATAGTGTAGTGGTCTTCACGCTGGGCGCGAATTCCAGAGGTCCTCGGTTCGATTCCCGGCGAAGGCGTTGCTCATTTTTCATCACTCCTGCTTTGAAAATAACCTAATGTCTCTACAAGCTCAAAAGTTAGATTTCCAAACTAGTTAGATAAAATTTATAAAAATATTTTTGAAGTGTCTGCTCGTTGCAGAACTTACCGCTTTGTAGTGGAAAATAATTCAGTTTGTACATTTGAGTTTGTTATCAGACAATAGTTAAAGGTTCAAGATATTGATCTCACTAAAGAAACGTAAAAAACGGATCACAAACGACAAAAATGTAAAAAAAAATTAGGTGTTTTCAATTATCAGATGTAGCAGTTTCAAAGTATACTTAAATAATAAAAAAAAAAATTCGAAAGATGTTAGTTTAAGTAAATTTCAGTAATCAAATGTTTAACTAAAATACCAGAGTTAAGCAGTTAACCAAATGATCATTACAAAGTTACAAATTAAAGTTATGTGTTAAAAAAAACTTCAAATATTATTTTTACAAACTTTATATGCATAGAAGATTCAGAAAGTAGTTACGACTGCCACGACTAGTTTACAGAATTGCGCAACAAGAGAGGCATATTCGCAGAATAAAAGTCACTCCCACGCCTTTCTACGAATAAAGTTTTATTGTAACAGCAGCAAGAGTTACATCATAAGAAGACAACAAAATGGCGGATTAACTAGAAACTATTCTGAAGTTGGAAAACGACAAGCAGTTGGATTTTTTATGGGAAATACAGTTTAACTGCACCAAGATTTGTCTTGAACGTATGGAAGAGTACAGAGTTAGTTAAAACACTAGCTAGGCTAATACATTCAGCTGTAGCCAAAAAGTGCCCGCTACGTCCGTTTAGACTTTAGTAATACTGATTATCAAGAAAGTCCATCAACATCAGTAACAGAAGGTATTTTAATACAGGTTAATGAAAATCGCAAAAAAAAATTGGAAATTTTTAGTCTCAGGAATCACATAAGGGTTGATTCCTGGGCGAACAGCAATGTTTCAACAATTATTAGGCACAAATACCTGGACTACGACTGCTGCATGATCATGAGCCCATTTCAGAAGACTAAAATTTAGTTGAACTCTCAAGATAAGTGTTTATAGAAGTGAAGTGTAACTTGCATTTAACTGTAATGAAGTATAGCTTACATTTTGAATTCCCCTCGTATGAATACAGTACCGATAAATTTTTTTAATTAATCAATTTCTATAAAGTGAGATTAAGAAAAGGAATTGGTTGTGTCTGTGTATGGTGGTTACATTTCACAAATTTTACTTACTAAAATAAATATCGGACTGATGTATTTCCAACAGACCCTCCAGAAAACACCAGGTCTGAAACCCAGCATCTCTTTTATCTCTTCGGAGAATCTGTCTGCTCCTACAACAACACAGAACCGTTAATATGCAATAGTATTTTAAATGCATTTTTGGATGCAACCACACTATTTGCTTCGTCTTACCATATATCCAGCAAACGGCTGCTGCTTCTACAAAGACAATGAATAAGACAGACATAGCTGTTCCGTAGGAATCTAGAAGATTCACTATGTAATATCCTCCCTGGAAGCAGAAAAAATAGTAAATTGTATTAATGATTATTACTTTTTGTATAAAAACATTTCGTAACTCTGATTTTAGCAAAGCATGCTCTAAAATATTCATATCAGATTTTTACATTTTTTCAAAAGAATTTGACGAAGTTCAAAAGTAATAGAATTCACATACATTTAATATACAGTTACTACTAATCAATTTAAACATCCAGCTACTAGTTTAAAATAATTGAGTATTCCTTAATTTACTGAAAAACATTGATTTTGAAAAAAAAAAAAAAAAACGTTTCGATCCAATGGAGTGCATAGACAATTTTAAAGTGATTTTTTTATCACAATTGTAATCTTGTGTTTTATACTCACGTAAGTGCATGTTGGCAGTGCGCAAAGATAGATGAAAATAACAACACAGCCGACGAACATTTCTCTGTTACGTCGTAGATGGACTGGAAATTGATCACACAGACCTGTTATCATAGCTTCAAGACCTCCAAACTAAAAAAGAAAATGAATATTCATCCCTAGAATAATTTTCACGTCTTGACTGGATCTTACCACTTCATTATTAATTCAGACATATGTAGTTAAATAATACTAACAAAATATTATTGGTTCACTCAATTGTTATTTCACGCAATCTATTTTTCGGATTTTCCTTACACTACATATTTAGAACCATGCTCATGCAATTTGAAACTTATATCATATAAATCAACAGATTAAATGAAATGCATGAATATGTTGTTGAAGATTCTATCATATGAATTTGGGAAAGGACAATGACGGAGAAGAAGAGGAACAATTACATTCCTTTTGATCAGGTATTGATTTAACTGTTTGGATCGGACGAGAACCGGTACTTTCAGCATGGTATCTGATTATTTTGATTTGAATCTGAACCGCCATACTAGTAAAATTTATAAGTAAGTATTCAAGTTATTGTAAAGCATGTAAATAAAACTTTTTTTAATGATTCGATTCTACCCCCATAATGCTGAAAATACAAGAATACTAAACGGACTTAAAAAAAAAAAAAAAAAAATTTAGAGGAGTGGGATAAAATTGACGCGACAATGCTAAGTTTACTTTTATGAAAAATCGAGTTTATAGCCAAGAAACAAGGCTATCAGATAAAAGCAAATCGGCTCAAGAAAAAAGATCTTACAAATGCATAAAAATGAATTATCAAAATCGTTTCAATAACTTAAGAGACACCTTATTTATTTAATCCACTTAATACACTGAAAGTGTCCACACATACTTGAACGATTTCGAGATTGTTTAATTAATGTTTAAAACGTGAAATATATTTTTTTTAATATTCGACCAATCAACCTTTTTTCTGGACTACAAGTCTGCATCTCGATATTTATGATAAAAGGACTTTTTGTAAAATTTCCAGGGGTATAGATTTCTATTCCTCTTCAACTATTGCACTTAGAAAGAGCTCTTTTCAAGAGACCAAAGACACAATAATTCATAGGTGTTAAGTCTTGCAGGAATATGTTGAAGTTATATACATGTAATACCTGTATCTGTCTTCATTTTTTCAAGGAATGCAATGATGTTTTTCAAAATATGATTTGTTACTTTCTGTTGCTGAAATTTCATTCTTTAAAAGTCGTTGGGATAAAGAAATAGAATTTCTTTTGTAAATATTGGATCAAGCCTTCTCTTGATTTTTCGTTGAATTGGTATTCATATTTCTTTTCACTCTTTTTATATTTAATTTTCCATTGTAAGATAATTCTGCAACAGTTCTAAACGTCTTACTGAAACTTTCAATGCATTGACGGAACCAAGTTTATACACTTTTTTCCCAAACAAATCTTCTCTTTTTTGCCGTCATTTAAGTAAACCCACGCATCATCAATAGTCACAATGTATTCTCATTTATTTTCTGTTAAATCGTTTTAATACAAGTTTCTACAAATTGTTCTGTCAGATGCCGCATTGAGCTATATGCCTTGCAAAAAGCTGGAGAACGTTATGTTTTTTAGTTTTTTTTTTAAGTTGTAAATCTTGATTTATTAATTTATTTATTGTTGCTGTAGATGTATTTAAGACTCTGCAATGGGTTTCTGCGTTGACGAATTTTCCCTTGTTACCAATAATTTAACATTAGAAACATTAAAAACAGTATGTACCTTTTTTGGGGGGACATTCATTTGGAGTTTTCGTAGCTTGCAGAAGTAATGATTGATGAATTCCCCTTTCCGGTTAATAATTAATTGCCTAATGTTGCTTATTTTATACTTTGAGACGTTAATACTATTCATTTTACAATGTTTTTGAATTATGGAATAGGACTATTTCTCTTCGGATAGCGCAAAGACGTACTTAAAATTAGGAGACGATATTTCTCATTTCAAATAATATTTGTCAGAAATGTTTATTCTTAAACATTTTCTTTATTTTTAATTCTCTACCGAAACCATTCTAAAATGTATAAACGCCCTCTGTATAATAAATGTATTCAATTAATAATTTTTGAAAATTTTTTTACACCAAATCATAATCGTTAATAGTTTATATCTTTATTTTGTTTTTGATAATATATGTGATCCGTTAAGTGCATAATATATCCAAATAATACTTCTTAAAAATATTTTTACAAATATTTTAATCAATTAATCAATGAAAGATGATTCTAAGGCTATATGTTACGTACAAAGGTACATATAATCCCTCGGTTTTCTAATATTTTACAGCAAAGATAAGAAAAAAAACAATAATATATAAAAGAATTTTACTGATATCACTTCCATTTAGAGATTCGAAAGACCTAAAGCAAAATAAAAAGCATTCCTTTTAGTATAATTGCGTTACGGAAATGGATTACAGTTATGTCTATTAGTTCATTTTTAAGTTAGTTCATAATTACAATAATCTTAATGATATTACATTGTAAAATTCGTATTCGTGTGAGATTGAACTTAAGATAGTAGAGTATGAAATCCAATTTCTCGGACTGGATTAACAAAATGATCCTTTTCTTTATTTCTTCATATCATAATTAAATGTACTCCTTTAAATCCATAAATGTATAAATGGAAGTTCTGATACACAATTTTGAACTTTAAATGATACTATATACTTTCCGAGATAGCTTAAATAATCAATACAAAAATAGGAGTGCCAAAAGAATTTATTTTTAATCTTACTCTGAAACCACTTAACGGGAGGCAAAATCAATAATCAAAAGTGGCTTTATCAAAAAAGCCGCACGTCTCAACGGCGATAAGCAAGAAGCTTTCTTGACACCCAAAAGAGATATTAGTGACGCCACCTGTCAGAAAGCACACCAGTTTCAAAACCAGAAATGTGATTCGTATTTTCGAGATTGAAAGTTCGCATATAAGGTGAAATATTTCACAGCGAATATATATATGTATATATATTTGATATGCTACTAAGTCTACAGGAATTTTTTTTATGATTCTCTTTAAATGTACAGCGGAAAAAGAATTTCCAAGCTAACCTCTTTTCCTGACTTATTGCAGGTACACTAAATGGTAAACTCAATTATTTTAAGAAACTCTGCATAGAAAGGAAAAAAAAATCATGGTTCATTTTCATTGTGACGTTATGCGAAAAATCGGGTATATAAATAATTTAACGTGATTCAGTTTTAAACGTAATTATTATTAAATGCCCAGAATCTTTGTTTATTTCGTAATGACAAATCTCTAAAATACTATATCAACCTGCTACACATTATTGCCTTTTAATCGTTTATTTTCTGCTGAAAAATTTAGAAGCCATTACAGAGGTCTCAGTTTTTGCTTTTAAAGTTAAAATTTGTTAAATATATTTTATAGAACATATTTTCTAATTTATTTTGTGGTAATCATTACAGTACGGTAGTAACTTTACATATAAAGCTCCATGAAAGAAAATTTGCTAATCAGTATAATCAGATAACACAGAAAGAGACATAAACGGAATGCAATTTTCAGCATATTATTGTTTCATTACGAGCATGAAAACGTAACTAAATCATTTAAAAGAGGAAGACCATGGCATTGCAATTTGAACGTATAAAATAAACACTACTGCCATCCATTGCCAAGCTAAAATTACAGGATATAGGGTGTATCAGTAAAGCGGTGACGAACGTTTAGGAAAGATAGAGTACACGTAGACGATGGAAGTGACATAGGAATGCATGAGTCGTGACGACACAAAAACCAAGAAAGAAAGGACATGAATAGGGTGAGAAAACATGTTTATTATTCAAAGTACAAACAAAAAAAAAAAAAAAAAAAAAAAAAAAAAAAAAAGAAAAAACAACGTAAACAGACAACTATCATCATCCAAGAAGGTATTCGAAATTACGACCCTGACCGTGATGCAAGAACCGAGTGCCATGCATCTTCCATGCGATCTTCCATTCCTGATGCAGATCTTCATACGCCAGAGAAGTGAGGCCTACATCACGGTCCGGGATCGTAATTTCAAACACCTTCTTTAATGATGATCGTTGTTTGTTTTTGTTCTTATTTGTAGGTTTCTGCTGTACTAAACATAATAAAACATGTTTTGTTTCACTGTTTGTGCCCTTCCTTTTTTGCGTTTTGTGTCGTCACTACCGGACCAGAAAAACGTTTCCAACCATGCATTGCTAAGTGATTTCCATTCGTCTAGGTGTACTCTATCTCTCCTGAAAGTTTGTCATCGCTGTACCGATACACCCTCTATATACATATACGTTTAATTTCATGTGCTATGTCAAACAGTTTTTAATTTACAAGTATGTTCATACAAGTATGTACACGTGCATCACAAATATATATTTATGTCCCAGGGTCGGCACTAAAGTCGATGGATCAGGTGCAATTACACTGAGTGGCGGAATTAGGGAGGCAATGTTTTTTAAAATTTAGGAAGTCTTCCTGGCGGCAATATATAAAAACAGCAGAGGTTGCACCGACCGACAAAGTTTAGCACCGATTATTGTGTGCCCAATTCAGACACTTTAAATTTTAATATGTCAAATTTAAAAGTGATCTAAAATCATAATATTTCCTATTTGTGAAAAATATTACCACTTTTCAAAATAACAAAACATGACATTTGAATTTCAGATGACAGAAGACAGGCAACAAGTACTGTGTCAAACAAAATTCTAAGCATCGAGGTAAACAGGCTTGAATGATTTACCAATCATCAGTTGTGTAGACTAAATAATGGCGGTATAGATCCCGTGTTGGACATAAGTTATACCAGCAGTTAATTGTTATTTAGCAATGGTTTAGCCTGCATACTGGCTAATTCGTTCTTCAAGACTAAAGTACAAAAATTTATCTTGATAAAATGCAGAATTCTGCACTGTTTTATACTGAGCAACTAATCAGTTCATACTGCATAAAGTTAAATATAATTTAAACTGAATATTTGTCTAACCTTCGCTTACTCTGTCTCTTTAAATTTATATTATCCCTTGTTATTTTATCTACTTAATTTGCATTTCTCTTAGAATAGACGAAGTAAGTAAAAGTAGAGAAAAAATTCAATGCAAAAAATGCGTTAATTAAAATAAAATCCAAAATTGAGTGATTATTAAATCATGATCTATACTGAATGAAGTCAAATCATAACCTTCCAAAAAATTAAAAACACAGATTTTCGATCACAAAAAGTAGACATCTTTGTGATTTATTTGTCATTGACTAGATTCTCCATCAAAGTCTACATCCATAACTAGACAATGGAGTCCTAAAATATTGATCTCGTTAAGAAAGTATTGCGTATTTAAATAGATGAAGGACCCATAAAATAGTTTTCATAATATTCTCCTTAATAAATTTAGTCCTGATCCTCAGTACTGTTGAGGTATTAAATAAAACTGAATACATTTTCAAAAATCTTACAAATAATCTCAATGTACTTGTAATAATACTTAAACAAGGTTAGGCTGGTTAGGAATTTATGAATCTGAGACATCAGCATAAATTTTATAAATGACATTTACGAAAAACTGTATAAAAGAGTTTGCTTGAAAATTAAAGGAATGGGGGAGAAACGAAAGAAGAATGATCAATTTCTGTCACCAAAATACATACATATGAAACTATGAAACAAAACGTTCCAACATTTATTTGAATTCACTGCATAAAAAATAAGCATTCGAGGACTTTTGAATTAGTTTGCGAAAGTCGCTCAGTTAATTCAACTTTATATTGTATAGACCAATTCATATTGAAAGATAAATGAAAGGTTCTGTTAAATTTACCGTGCTGTCTAATCCGAGAGTGATGAGCATTAAAAAGAAGAGAATACTCCAGAATACGGATCCTGTCATTGTTGCCACAGCCTCCGGATATACTACAAATACCAGCCCTTGACCTAGAAAATAATGCAATGATTGTTAAAAAAATTATTAAACATAATTTGCACTGACATAAGTTGAATATAAACAGCGTGATAAAGAAACGAAACTAGTTTACAGACTTGGTATAATGTAACTACTCATTATAAAAGTTCAACAAAGTGTCAACAAGAAAACTATAAAATCTTTCTGTAACTATTATTCCTGAGAACGTTTTCCTGTGGCTATAAAGTTCTGACATTATTAAATACTATTAAAATTTTCCTGAGATTACAAATTTTATCATATGGCATGTGTCGACATGGTAATCGTATCTTCCCATAAATGCGATATCAAGTCTTTCTTCATGTATACCGAAGACCCATGTCCGAATACACTGGCGTAACTAGGTTTGGAGGTAGCAGGGCACATACACAGCTGCTTATCCGATAAGAAGAAAAATCATGTGATATCAGTTGATCACCCGCTGTAAAGTCTTGAGCAAGAACCTAATTATTGTCTGGAAATTTATCAGTCTTTCTACAGTTAAATAACATTTTAATATTTCTTTTGTCTGCAAATATCCCGGTGGTCTCTCATTCAGAATAATTACATATTATTATGCTAAATGATAAAAGTAGCCTAATTCATTTTCAATTGTACTGTCCCTTTAATCATAGGCTAATTTTTGTTTTAGTTAAATATTCAGCACTGATTATTTATACATATCCATACAAGCGACAATTTTACATGTATAAAAAAACTTACATTTTTTTTTTCTGATACATTAGTCGTACACTGCCTACTGACATATCATCATTCTCTAAACAAGAGTTAAAAAATCTCCATTTACCACTGTTTCTTTGCTTAAACACTTTTTTTTATTTTAATCATGTATAGTGGCGATAATTTTCGAAGCGGGTTGCAGCCAGATTAGCTAAAAGAATTATTAAAATTTTTGTAAGCAGGAACGTATAAATGTCAACTTTACTTTCATCATAAATAAAATTCAAGTTCTTCTATTTAATAGTTGGAAGAATTGATCATTACACTAAAATACCACCTTGCATTCATTAAAAGGTGACTCTGGAGGAAGATCCAGTGGACCAAATCAAGGTGGTAGCAAACTGTTATCTATAACAATTGTTTACGCTAGGTTGGCACTGTGGGATCATCAGGTTCCTTATAAGCAGGAATCTCTGGAAACCATCTATGCTGTTGCCGTGAGTTGGGCTTAAGACTTTCCAGATTCTGAACCTATATGTTTATCCCTACACTCCAAGATACATGGGACGAATGCTTTTAATCCTCTACAATTTGAACTGAGGCTTGAAGTTTATAGTATTTCGCAGGTATTTTTGATATATAGAATGAAAAGTAATGCAGGAGGACAGGTTTTGTAAATTTCCTTACAGATAAACAAGTTTCTCTTCAACATAACCTCTAAAGAGCCAATAAACTGTAATTGTTAAAGGGCAAAAACCCTCTTCTGAAACTAAGAAAGATACTGGCTAAGCTTTTTAAACAACATAATTAAAGATGTCATAAAATATCAGCCATGTTGCATATGTAGATACACAGACACCAAATTAATATGTTTCTAAAAGTATGAATTCATTTAAGCCTCAGATTTAAATTTATATCCCACTTCAATTCTCAAAATGCATTTTAGAAAGTTTCAACAATTTTATCACAGTTTTACTCAAAACACGAAAATACAATGTAAATAAAGTAACAAACATTCAATATAATTTGTGTAACATTAGCTATCAGGAAAATTTTCAGTATCAGTTTCGAATAAGTGGTTTCATTTTCTTACCGTCTGTGGCAACGTTACTTATGTCCTTTTTCAACATGTGAGCCATATATCCCAGAACAGAGAAAATAACAAAACCTGCTAAGAAACTTGTCAAGCAATTCACAGTGCTTGTAAATATAGCATCTCTAGAGTTAAAAAAAAAGTTAATATTTTATTTTATAAGCAGATACGAAAGTAATAAATATGTAATATAAAAAATGTAAATGCAATATATAAAAATAAGTATGCACATAAGTAAAAAATTATGAAACTCTTACGCATGTTTTATTGTTTGCTGTTCTTGATTTAGAAAAGCATGCGAAATATATTATTAGTGTGTAAATGTTTAAAATATACGAAAATTATTCACATACATTTACTTCTAGGATCATATATTGGCTGTACTGCATAAATTTTCAAGGAATTAAATGTTACCTAGTTGTTGTCTTGTCCGTGTATTTCATGCAAAAATCGTTGCCAGAGCCTCAAAGAGGTGGAACTTCTACTTTCACCGCAATTTTGAGGAACAACACCCGGGGGGGGGAAGCGAGGGCCTCCCACCTCTATCCCGTACCACTAAACCACTCAAGAGGACTTTCGGCTCGCCATATATTTAGAGTGCCCCCATGCCGCAAAGATACTATACATTTAGAAACATCCATGTCTTCTCCGGGATTCGAACCCGGGCCCTTCGGTACCGCAGTAGGCTTCTCTAACCACTATATCGTCTTAAAAATATTAATGTCTGTCTTCTACTGCAAGGCGTAGACACATATATCATCTTTATTATTGTCTGCTAATTAAGTATTTATTTATTTTAATACGAGCATGTTAAATTTATGTAAATGCAAACAATATTAATATAATTTGCGAGGGCAACAATAGATAATTTTAGTTTATTGTCGTTCTAAAATAATATTCTTTAAATTTATGTACTATTAGAATGCTGGATATACAGTGGAACACATCTGTTTTCACACACTTGTATTTTTGAAATTTATTTGCATAGATCATGTAGAAACTATTGAAATATAGCTTCCAAAGTTGTTTCTAATATATTGTTTTTCTGTATTTTAATCCTTCCTTGTTACAAAAAAGTATTTTCATAATATTTCTTGTAATAAAATAACTTATTCAAAACATATTAGTCGGTAACTCACGAGATAATTCGGACACTCAAAATTTTTGTTGAGATGTTTTGATCACAGTTCTAAAACATCGTGGTACAAAACACCGTCATAAAAAATAAAGCGGTTCAAAAATAAAACTTTTAAACTCCATCGTCGTCGAAAATATCGCAGTAAAATATAAAACACTAAACAAACAATCGCATGAAGATAATGTCGCATACATGCGTTTTCAAGCTTTAAAAGTTCTCTTATTCGCATAATGATTTGTGAGTACAAGGATTACTGAAAAATGTTTTACTTTTATATTTTATATTTTTGAATTATACATTTTTGCTGAAAAAGTAAGAAGAAAATTTAAGCATTCAAAGACTCAAAGAGAAGAAAAATAATTCTAGGTGTAGCAGTTAATAGAATTTAAAACTTTTATAGTTAACTAACAAAGATCATTAATTAATGAATCTTTTTTATAAAGTTTAATTGGCAATTTTTCATGAAAAATATAGTCTAAAAGAGATTAGAGAATGATGATGAGTAACTGCATTTGATTACCTCTTTTAAAATTGTTTAATTAATTATCATATTACATAATTACGTTGACTGCTATAAGTAGAATTAATTTTCTACTTATTTTTAGTTTTTGAATGCTTAAGTTTCCTTCTGAATTTTTCAGCAAAAATTTATTAGTTAGTTCAAAATTGTAAAAGTGAAAATATACATTCCTTTTTGCTCTCACAAATCATTATGTGAATGTACCTTTACAACTCTTTTAAAGCCTGAAAAACACATGTCTGTGATCTCATCATCATGCGTTGATTTGTAGACGCTTTATTTTCTTTTAACACGATATTTTCGATGACTATGCTTTTAAATTACAAAGTTTTTGAATCGTTATATTTTCAACGACGATGTTTTGTACCACGATGTTTTAGAACTGCGAAGTTTCTGTTTTGCTTTCTTTTCTCTTACAATGTTTTGTATGACGATGTTTTCCTCTTGCATTGTTTTCTCGTCGATGTTTTCGTCCGCAGTGTTTTCGCCTTTAACCTTACAAACTGATATTTGCAAATAAAACTGGAAAACACAAGTTTCTAAAGATAAATATGAGCCATTGTATGCTCTAAATAAAAACATCTTTACTTGAAATTTTTTGAGATGTAATGTTTCATTATTTAAAAACCGCTTTTGTAGAGCCTGGGGTTTAAATGTAGTTAGTTTAATAGCAGAAAATTTGGCGAATTTTCGGACTGCAAAATACAACCTTTCTGCGTGAAAAATAATACTTGTGATTTAAATTTAGTGCAAGAAACCATATTAAACGACTGATAGCTCACTAGACCGAAAATGGTATAAATCTGGGATAAGATTTCTAAAACTATTTATTTATGTATATCATTCAAATTCTTAAATAAATGATAGAAGCAAACATCTAAACGGATCTCTTGATAAAATGTATGAAGTTAAAGCTTTTATAATTCCACATGAAAATAGTCACATGCATCTTGAATGAGCTCCAAATAACTTTATAATTAAATGAATAAAAATTGACTTATTTAAATTCGTATTAAATCCAACACATATTGATTATAAAATGTTAAATATTTATTTCGAGAAATGAAACAGTGCATAAGTTATGAAAAACATGTTTTATTGAAACTTTTACATTAAAAATCCGATATGTGTCAATAAAAATAGTAGAACAAACACTGAATAGATAATTAAAATCAAACTACGCGCATCTGCAAACAAAACAGAAAGTCATTTTTGATTTAAAAAATAATTATACATATCTCTGAATCTTCTGTAGAAATACTTGTATTATGATTATTCTACGAGTGTTTGGATATTTTAAAAATACTTAAGTTGAAAGCTAAAAGCATATTAAATTAAATGTGTATTAACTTCTTCATAGTGGCTTACTTTGGTCAACGAAATGAATTTAGGTTAACATTAGATCAGCATTAGAACAACATTAGCTCCCTATTAGATCAACATTAGGACATCAGATTGTGGCAACAATTATATTCATCGCATAGTAACGGATTGCCATAGTGACAATAAGCTCAGAAACTCGAAACGACAATTATTATATTTTTGACTTTTGAGTTTGTATCATCATAAGTTTCTTCCCTGTACTTAGATATATTTAACTGGTAAATAAATAAATATTTAGATACTAATTGAGTAATAATTTGAATACTTATCTCTATCCTCCCAAATTGGTTGACCTGGATATTTGAAGACATCATGTTAGAATGATGACCAACGGCAAGAATAGAAACCAGTTAACAACTTTGATGATCGCCAATTCTTAAAAAAAGTAAGATCAATAATTTGTTTTATAATTTTTAACTGCTCAACTTTTGTGCGTTGTTTTATATTTAATTCTATTAAGTTAAAGGTTTATGAGAATTAAATGTCGTATAACAGCGAAACTCAAACTATCGAGCTCTCTCGTATTGCTTTCCGTGCACCTTCATTTTGGGAAAATAGCCCAGACTTATGGTTCGTGCAATTAGAATCAAAGTTTAATTTATCTGGTATCACATCAGATCAAACAAGATTTCACTCAGTTATAGCTGCATTAGATGCAAAAGTTCTGGCATGTATATCTGATAATGTGCGTAATCCCCCAACAACTAACATGTAAAATCAATTGAAAGCAAGAATTTTAGAGCAGTTTTCTCAATCGGAGAACTCTAAAATGCCTATACTTTTACAAGAATTACAGTTGGGAAGTAAAAGACTATCACAACTTTTATTTGAAATGCTCAATTTATCAGCCGGTAAAGTAAGCGAGGAAGTATAACAGTAAACCCATTTTGCTTCAAAGACTCCCAATTTCAATTCAAAAGATATTATCAGTATGCAGCGACACATTAGATGGTTTGGCTAAAATAGTTGAAAGTTAATGAGATATCCGGTTACCCATCAGTTTTGCCCGGAATGAGGTCATGCATTAAAGAAGATATTGAATTTTCACGAGTTGAAATAGTCTGTGGAACTTGCTTGAAACTTCCAGGAGAAATTTTTCGCAATTCGTTTTCAAAAGATTTTGTTGACAATCTTCGTCAACAGATGCGACTTATCCGACCATCTCCTGCTTTGCGGCACTCTTCGAGCAACATGTTCTTTCATGGTTTACTTACAAGCTCGCATGTCTTCCTTAAACGACCTTAGACGAGACACTGTGCGAAAACCTTTAGAGCAACCATACCAGGGACCATTCAGAGTATTAGTTAGGACTGAAACATTTTTTACGATCGATAGAGTTAATAAACTACATGCTATCATGCAAATATTGACTAGTAAAGTATTGGTAAAAATTTGTAAAATGCAGAAGAGAAATTTGTAAGACGGAACATGAACCTCACCACATTGTCATTTTCTCAAAACTCGGGTCTAGCAGTGTACATGAATTTTTCAAACTCATATTCTTACCAATAACATGAAAGTAGAAATTCTGTAGAAGAAATTCTGTAGAAGAAAATCATGTAAGTAACAACAAAGAGTCTGAACCTGATTTTAGGGTAAACCAAACGTTCCCAACTTTCTATAAGTCTGGCAGACGCGTAAAAATTGTTCAACCATACCAAGCTTCTTAGCTTGTCCTCTGGACTGGAAAGGGACCACTGTGGAAAGAACTAGATTCATCCGTAGTAACGGTTTGCCATAGTGATGATAAGCTCATAAACTCGGAACAACAATTATTATATTTTTGATTTTTGAGTTTGTATCATCATGATAAGTTTCTTTCCTGGACTTAGATATATTTAACTAGTAAATAAATAAATATTTAAATACTAATTGAGTCATAATTTGAATAATTATCTCTATCTTCCCAAAAGATAAACGAAATTTAGGGAGTTATAAAATATTAAAAAAATGAAAAATATTCTTATTAATGAGCAAGTAGACAGGGAAATATATTTCTCCTAATATACATACACTTTCCATTAGACACGCATTTTGAAATTCGTACTAAATTTTTGTCTTTAAAGTCAAACACATACTGATTAAAAAATGTGAGAATATTTATTTAAGGAAGCAAAATACATCGCTATTAAATTTTTATGTTATCAAAATTATGATTTACTAAAACTTCTATAATTAAAGCACATATCGGTTTTACAGGCGGCCAAAGGGGTAGGAATTTTGAAAAATAAAACTTGGAGAATCCAAGTTTAAACGCCGTTTTTTCTTTTCTTCCCCCCCCAAACGCTTTTAAATAGTGAAATTTTTAACGGAAATAAAGGGGGGAAAAGCTTTTTTTCCCAAGAATTACGAATTTCTACTTTAGAAAAATGTGGTTATAAATCATTTTTCTGATGGCTCTAAATCAGCAATAACAGCTATTATGGCATCAAATCACGGCTTTTACATTGCCTCCCACATGAACTTAGCCAGCTGTGGCTCAAGATATTGGCGAGCACGTAACCACGTGGCATTTTATTTCTACGCTCCGAGGAACTGTGCAATATTTCAATATATGAGTGCCGGTTCCCAGATCAACAAATCTGTAGATGCGAGAAACCATCTTTCTTTTTTTTTCCCCAGTTTTTCACGTTGCACCTCCATATGGTTTCACCGGTGGTATATAAATTAATTTCATGTTCATTTTTCAAAAACTGTGGGTAGGGTAAAGACCCCTTTCTTGGAAGCAGCAGCAGAGCGTAAAGACGCTGAACACTGGTAGTTCGGTCCGAGGTTCGAATCCCGCGAACGGACTGGCTGCATGGACGTTTTCGTGGTTTTCCCCATGTGACACGTGTATACGAGCCAGTTTCCCTTAGAAAGTCCTCCACGATGGCATCCCTCCCTTTAGGCAGATAGCCCTCGTGTGCTTTGCCGTAATTGAATAATCCAATCCTTTCTTGGAAGAATGCAACAACTTCATGAACACATTCCTACCAGATGAAAGGAAAATGATTTCACATTTCTTTTGCGCTTGGTTTCGGGTTTGATTTTTGACTCGTGAGTTACATGTGTGCTTACTCATGAAATTAAGAAAAATCTGAAATTCAAACTTACGCACAAATTATCATCATCAGAAAATGTAGCGTAAAAAAGTTTACTTGGTTTTGGTTATCACTTTGCTATATCATTTGGCGGTAATGTCACCAAATGTCGCGATTAATCGCTGTTCTCGGTGAAATGAACAAGTACCTTGAAATCAAATGGATTTGCATCTACATATTTTATGTAATTCAGTCTGAAGTTAATAAACTACATGCTATCATGCAAATATTGACTAGTAAAGTATTGGTAAAAATTTGTAAAATGCAGAAGAGAAATTTGTAAGACGGAACATGAACCTCACCACATTGTCATTTTCTCAAAACTCGGGTCTAGCAGTGTACATGAATTTTTCAAACTCATATTCTTACCAATAACATGAAAGTAGAAATGAGTTTCTTTCGATTTCAAAATATTGCATGACTATCCACTATCGACTTGTATATATAAGAAATCGTAACATGAAAGTAGAAATGTGTGAAAGCTGTTCGATACTTTGTCCTCTGCCCTATTGCTAGCAGAAAACCGTTGCTGAACATGGGTAATTTAGTAAAAATGTCAGTTCGAGGAATTATCTGTACACTTCTGCTTCCACCAACATTGCCTATACTGTCTTCTCTAATGATTCAGCCATATCCTATGATAGTTACATATGGATTAGTTTCCGTCTCGCCATATCTATCGAGTCAGAACCAATTCTTTAATTTTAAATCTTTGTTAGAATCGCTTTAATTTTTTGAGCTTCTGGAGAGTTTTCAACTCTCAGCTATCATATTACTGATTTTTTTAGAAAAATTGTTATCTGTTGGTAATAAAAGTTATTACGTTTTAAAATCCTGGTTTCTAATCCGCAGTGTGATTCGCATTTAAAGGTATGTTTTAATGGCAGATTTTTTATGAAGGGCGCACACGCTTAGATAATTTTATATTTTGACAAGTAGGTGTGTATTAATATACAAAACCACTTAGCGGCATATGTAAACAACAACTTTTCTCCAATGAAACAAAGTTCTCTTTTCTAAAGGGTATTCATTTGAAATTTAGAGCCATTTTTTAACCGTTAATTAGCCATTCACAGTTCTTTGTCTATGCAGATTCTTTTGAAAAGTGTATAATCATATTTTCACTTTGTTTAATTTTTCTCCCGTCCTGTTGTATTTGTATAAATCTAAATTAAAACAAATATATTAGGTTAAACCAGTTAACTAAGTTAAAACAATTTTAATTATCAAAATGAAAAAAATCTTTAAACGTATATTCCAATAAATTCAAGGATAAAAAAACAGGCTTAATTGCCTAATCTGTAACGTAAGAATTTCAAATGCCGCCAAAGTAGTATGCAGTGACAGCTTTGGTCTGATCTTATTATACAGTACACACAGCATTTGGCTGTGTGTATTGTATAATAAGGCTGTGTGTACTGTATAATAAGATCATTTTCGGGAGGCGATGAAGTTTACATTCTGTATCAGCAATTTCGGAAAAATTTCGTGTGTTATTCCTTTTCTTCTTTTTACTTCTTTAAACTAATATATATATATTAGTTTAAAGAAGCAAAGTGTAAAGGAAATATTGTAATCGAGCAAAAACTTCGGGTATCATAATTCAACGAAAATGAAATTCAAGGAAATAAGTTTAAATGAAATGCTGCAAAAAGTGCATATAAATTAATATTCCGTACAAGGAATTCATGGGGTGTACTAATCAGGTTTGTTAACTTAATTTTCATCTTTTCGAAAATGTACTTACTAGAAAAATGTTGAATTGATATATAATCAAAATAAAAGCCTTTCTTTCTGTTTTAATTTACATATAAACTAATGTCATTCAAGAATACAAAAATTTAAATTGTCCAATCATTTTTGTGAGGCACTGCAGTTCGGTCATCTACGACATGCTGTATAAAACATCAAATAATTACCTGTAACAGTTGTTATGGAATTTATTATAACTGGACAAGGCTAGAAGTGTTCCAAAGCCGGGCCCAAGTGAGAAGAAAATTTGAGTTGCAGCATCAATCCACACCTGACAATTAAAATATATAAAATGTGAAATTAATGCATTAATAAGTTAAGAGATTACAAAGAGAATTTTCAGGTTAACTTTTCTAAAGCAAGATTTAAAATTTTGATTTTTGTTTTAAATTTTACTTTAAATATTATCCCTTTTTCTTTTAAATATGTACACTGCAAAAAAAGGGGGGTTACAATTCTATATCTTTTCTACTGGGCCGATTGACGAAATTCAACTTGCATTTTTTATGTCTCGAAAGAGCGACTTAGGATATGCATTAGATTTATATAGAGCATTGTTCTAATATAGGTATTTTGACACAAAATCGGACTTTTTCTGAAATAACATACCAATTGTTTTCCATATTTCAATTCTACGACTCAAATTACGCCAAACTACCAAGTTTTGCCAAGTCGTATTTAAAAAATTAGCTCTCAAAATTTTAGTTCCACAATGAGTTTGGTATATATTTATTAATCTCTCTTTTTTATTAAACTTTGATTCTCCCTTTCACATTTCGAAATTTAGGTTCATTCCAAATAAAATTCACCAATTTCTTATGATTTATTTTTAAATAAATTTTATAAATTTTTCAAAAAAGTTCTTGAATTATAATCTATAAAAACTTTACCGTCATCTATCTTAAAGTAGACGTATCTCTAAGCATACCTGCAAAAAATTAAATTCAAAATAGTTTTTTATTCAAAATTTCCGAAGATATACGCGAATTTATATATTGGCTCGTTTTGAAATTTGTCATATTTGTTGAAAGCGATAAAACATGGTTAAGACACTTTGTCTTCTGTGTTCTGCCCTATTGCTAGAAGAAAACCGTTGCTGAACATGGGTAATTTAGTAAAAAATAACAGTTCGAGGAATTATCTGTACACTTCTGCTTCCACCAACATTGCCTATACTGTCTTCTCTAATGATTTATCCATATCCTATGATAGTTACATATGGATTAGTTTCCGTCTCTGCCATATCTAATGTCGAGTCAGAACCAATTTCTTTTAAATTTTAAATCTTTGTTTAGATCGCTTTAATTTTTTGAGCTTCTGGAGAGTTTTCAACTCTCAGCTATCATATTACTGATTTTTTTAGAAAAATTGTTATCTGTTGGTAATAAAAGTTATTACGTTTTAAAATTATTTGGAAGTAGAAAACGATACGAATTTTTTTCCGCTCATGCAGAAAGTAAAAGTATAGCAACGAGGTGCCTTTTTTTCGCTCCGGCATAATGGAAGGGAAGGGAAAATTGGTTGCCACATATTAAAATGTTCACCAAGGGAATTATTCTTGGCGCAAACTGGAAAAACTTCGCCAAGATAAAATTTTGAATTCCTCCGTAAATTTCGCACTAAATTTTACAAAATTTAATATCTAGGCATAATTGTGAGTCGTGGAATCGAAATATAAAAAAAAAATGGTATGTTATTTCAGATTTTGTGTGAAAATACCTATATTAGAACAGTGCTATATATAAATCTAATACATATCCTAAGTCGTGTTTTCGAGACATGGAAAACGCAAGCTGAATTTCGTCAATCGGCCCAGTAGAACGGAAGATATAGAACTGTCTCCTTTTTTTTTCGCCGTGTACATTATAATTAAATTTTTAATGATCACGTGGAGTTTTTTAAAAGTAATTTTTCCTTAAGCAAGTATTTATTGATTAGTTTAAAGTGGAGATACTTTTTTTTCGTCATGAAAAATTTGTAGATTTTTTAAGCCTTCAGGTTAACAAAATGTTTTTTTTATCTATAGAAATACTGATGACGAAATTACGTGAGTAGGAAAGGTATTAAGATCATATAATTTTTTAAGTCGGAATATTTCGAAATAAATTAATTTTTAAAAGCAATTAAATTATTAGAGTTCATAATTTTACTATAAGTTTCTGAAGTTACTATTAAATTTAATGATTTCTAATGAACTTATTTAACGGTTTTTATTATAGGAATAATATCGTTTTTGTTTTTTGTTCTTAAATAATAGTACGTAGTGTTTTCAGATATTAGATATCAATAGAAATAGCTTGTATTCGCATCCGTTGTGATTTAAGACATGACTTGCATTATTCAAAGATATGAGATGCATTGCTCGAGTAAATCTTTAACTCCTAAAAGTTTAGTTGCTATTCCTTCACTTAATAAATGTAATCTGCAATGTTTAGAAAAATGTCCATTATCAGCTTACATCACTTTCTAAAAGCTTTTCCCATTTTGGAGAGAGGTAGTATTTAATGCCATCCAAAGATCCCTCTAATGTAACTCCTCTACACAGCAGGATAAAGAGCACCACATAAGGCATAGTAGCTGTAAACCACACCACCTGAAATATATAACTGATTATTATATCAGGTTTGTATTTTTCCATGTGTATGTAAATCATATCTCGCATCAGATATTAAATTTAGCTATACTTAATGCAGTTTTAAAATTTTTAAATGTATGCAGTTTAATTTAAACAATTTCAAGTAGATTGATTGAATAGAAAATATTATTTTCCAGGCCAAAAGACCAAAGTAATGCTCAAAGGCAGGCTAAACGTCTTTATCAACACTTTTGGGTAAGGTTTCCTCTGAAAGAGCGACTGAAAATCCCATTTTAAGCCATTTAAAATCTATACAATATTTGTGAAAATTGCAGTGCTATGGAATCTTAAAAGGAAATTTATATATATAAAAAAAGGAATGCAAATTCAATGATTAAAAGTTTCAGACCACTACAACTGTATCAATCAGACAAAACCAATATTTTATTAAGGGCATGATGTACAGAAGCTCATATTACCATTACCACGAGAGGCAAAAAGAATTTTCATAATTCGTGCCACTGAATTTAAGTGGCTTTGGATGTGTTCACAGGATTACTCTTTGCAAGGATGTTTCGGTCTCAGAACACAGTTCTTTAGGACTGACTGCTATAGAGATGTGACTGACCAGTCCCCGGAATGTCTGCATCTCATACATGTTCAACAGGCCACTTGTCTGGAAGGCTATACGAGGGAAGAAATAATTTCTATCGCATTTCGAAGAAGACATGGACATTCTTGGCAACATGTATTCCATCGATGCTTGTTGGAATATGGTTCCAGAAGTGAATTGAAAGAAGGGGTATGACTTCAGCCACTATATTTTCCTTGATACAGCGGTTGTGATACTACGATACTGCAGTGGTTAAACTGGATGTGTGTTCCTTTTGTAACCCTTTCAGTAATCTTAAGATAATTCTAAGTGAAGCATGAGACTGTAGTGTTACATAACGATGTTTACTGGAACGAGAGAGCTTGGGAATGACCGAAAAGATTTCATACACTTTGTATTCGTAGATACCGAAGATCTGGTATAATTCTTTAATGTACTCCAACGCCAGAGCAGCCGGCATAATTGGGGATGCATCTTATCAGCCTGTTTAAGCCCTCCGCGTTATTTTAATTTAGCTCATAAATCCGGAGACATGTCTACTAGAAACTGTCTTAAAGCAAATAAAAAAGACAATGAAAACACAGGGTAAAGAATGAAGTCAGCCATCCGACTAAAATATTATGTTTTGAGTGTACAACTGCTATGTGCATGTGCTATTCTTTTGTTTTAAAAACAAATCTGTCTCAAATCAAAACAGTGGTGCACTAGCGCAAGTACGTTCATATAGCGATACGATACTACACGATTATATTTCAACTCTAATGCACATTACAAATCTGCTGTACATTTAATAATACTATTATGCAGAATTTGCATTGGAGATACAAATTCGAACAGACTTTGAAAAGATGTCTACCATGCTGATATACCATTGTCTTGAAAAATATACCTATTTTGTATTTTTCAAATTTATGGCAGTTCTTTCTCCCCCCCCCGACAATGTGGTGATTGACCCACTGCCGTTGACCGTTCTGGATTTCTGCTGTCCTTATGCATGGGAGGGTGTTGTCAAGTTATTTAATCGACTGGAGATTCCAAGAACTATTTCGGTGTATTTATGGATACGTCTGAGCGCGTATGTATTCCAGCAGATGTTATTTGCCCACACATGTTTTTTTTTCAGATGATGGAATGATCAAATGATAAACATTCATTTCTGGGCAGTAAAAATTATAATATTCAAAGTCTCCAACCCCTCCACATACTTACTTCGCACTGTCTCGGAAGCGGAAAAGAAATACGTTGCTCATGTATGGGCCCTGTCCCTTCAGGAATGGTGTCGGCTCGGAATTACCACTGCTTAATTTATCTCTGACCTTGGGAAGGTATCTCATATGCTCTTCTCCCAGTGTCATCGTTGTCCCAGGAACGTTGTCATTGTTCCATTAAAAAGGATCTAGTAGTCGCTTTCATGTGTGACTTCGAGCATGGCTTATACTCCAGTATGTACACGGACTCACTGGAGGTTTGGTCTGATATTTCTTGGCAAGAAGAGTAGTATTTTCGTGTTCTGCTTGACTACAGTATTCCTAATAACTTTTTTCCAGAGTGCAGACTAAACGCTGAGATAGAATATATCATTAATTCGTAAACTACTAGAATGCTAAAGAAAATTGTTCCTCTAAATGCAGCAAGTTCAGCTTCAGACACTGTATTGACAGAAATTAGTCTTCGTGCCCAGGTAAACACACTACTGGGATCTCGTATTACACAGAAGATACAGCCTGCGCTTTGCCCCCCCCGCTTTGATCCGTCAGTATATATTGCATATGTCTCGAGAGTTGATGGAGTTTGTAGTTTCGTATCAAGGTTAAATTCTGCGGGGTGGCAGAGCACTGTTAGGTTACTGCTCTTATAGTCAATGCTGATGAATTCTCTTTCATTACACAAATGTGATGGTTTGGAGTCTAAGTGAGCGAACTATGGCATTTTCTCTTTTTACAATGAGATAGAGGGGGGAAGGCCAGCTAGGACGTTTAGTGCACTGATAAAGGATGTTCTAGAGATGCTCAGGAGGAAAGGTAGATGTGGCGGATTTGAGCTGCAAGTGCATACTTTTTGTGATATGAGAATCCCACATAGAGGGCCCATTCAAGGCTATTCTTTCAGCTATTGTATGATGCCATATTTTTAGCATCTGAGAGAGTGTGTATTCAAGTGGTTATTGCAGCTTGAAGTGTTGATAATTATAGTCAAATAACTTTCATTCAAATAATTCCATATCTATATATATACTATATGGCTTTGGATTATGTTCTGTACAAGCATCAGTGCCGTGGTACGAAGCTCATTCACGCATTCATTTTCTGTGAAACTCTGAAATTTAGTTAGATGATTTCGTTGATGTTGACAAAGAACACTGAAGGCAATAAACTACTTGTTTAGATTCTTAACAGCCTTTTGTTTGTATGACTAAATGATCCTTCAAAAGAAATCCACTGAGTCTTGAAATTTGCATTTCTTTAAGGAAGTAGTATTTTATTCTGATTATCTATATGATTTCTTTATGTATTGCAATTTTTATAACTATGAGTTTATTATTAGAATATACTAATGCAATAGGTTGGAAAGTACACAGTAGGCGAGCATCTCATAAAATGTTGCTATCAAAATCATAAGTGAGTCATATTTTTCTGCTAGATTTAAGTTCCGAAAGCCTTAAGTCTCACCTCGTGTTGTAAAAAAAATATTTGGTAAGAAAGGTAATGACTTGTAACTCTATAAGTAATATTATATTCTACAGAAACATTAACTTTTCAGAATAAAAAAACAAAATATTTTCTAACAAAATAAAAAGGAAGAATTTAATTATTGAAAACAGTCATCTAACTCTATTATACGTTATTATTAGATGGAAACTTACAAATTACTTATCAACCAGCATTAAAATATAAAAAATGCATAATTTAGGTCAACCTTTCCGGAGCTTTTGACTCCTTTCCACAAGGAAAAGTAGACGAGGACGAAGACTGCCATTAAGCAGAGAGATAATGTCCACTTAACTGGTCCTATACTTTGAATGCCGTCTGATCTGTGAATTTCTAGAACGCTTCTCCTGTTAAAAGAAAATTTGAAAAAAATAATTAAAGAATGAAGGATCGCAGAGTTTCAGTAAAGTCTGCATATAAAAAATACATTTGTTTCAAGCGAGGTTAAAACTGTGCTATTTACAAACAAAATAAATCAAAAATTAGCAGAAATCTAAAGAACCTACTTAATTTTATAATAATTCTGCTAAACAAAAACTGTACTATGCTGCGTTTGTTGCTGTTTATTTAGATACGTATTCTGAAAGCCCTCTGATTTCACCTATGCATCAGAAGAGAGCTTGCTAGACGTGTGCCTAAAGGAACCATGCTATGGAAACCTTTTTGTACGTGCGAGTTTTTGCTTGAATATAATTACTTTTTTGAAAGATTCACTTGCCCCAATAAATGCAATGAAAATAGCTTCATTCAACTTCAAATCAAAGCAAAGGAGTTGTTGGAGTTTGATATTTTGGATTTTAAGAGTGCGCTGTGTTATCATTAAATCTGATAAAATTAAAAGCAGGGATATCAACTTGCCAAAGAACTAATTGATGATTTCTCAAATGAAGAGGAACATCATTCTTCATGACAAAATGTGAGACCTGGCCATTCAGTGCAGTTTTCATGAACAGCAACGACACAGAGTATTCAACATTTTTGTGACTTTCTGTTTTGTGCTATTTCAGAGCAAGCTTACTTATTTTTAGTTTATTAAAGAAACAATTATAAGGAATAGCTTAGTTAAAATTTAAATACAAATTCATGTAATACCTTTTTCATTGATTTTACATTTAAATAACGAATATTTTATCATAACTCCATGTAACTTACTTACCACCAACTGAGTTGCTGTGCCGCCTGGTATATGACTATCAGCATCTGTACTCAATTGGTGGAACATTCTGTTGTAGCTAGGCCTAGCCAAAAATCTCTATAGAATATTAAAATTTGTAGCGGGATTTATAAAGTTACTTCGGAAGATGGGTATTTGTGACCTGAGGTTATTAAAGATACCCTGCCAAGACTTTGACCGTGCTGAACGATTTTTTTAGATTGCTTTTAGATTTTCGCTGTTTATTGCCAGGTAGTCTACGAGAGTTTTAAGTTTGTTTCGTAGTAGCTTACTCTTTAGGAGTTCTTTCAGCCATACCTGGGCATTTTCAGCTGTATACGGCCGAAAATGTAGGTCTTTGGTGATTTCGCACTCGAACATATAGTAATTAATGGTACCTGTTGAGCCGCATTTGCATGAATCTGTGTGGTGCAATCCGAATCGAAACAAATAGGCTGCAAAAGAGCCATGCGCCGTCAGGAAATATGTCATTACTCTGTCTGTAGTGTTTAATTTCCCTGAGGGCACCGAGAGGAAGGTAAATGTCATCCTGCCAGTTAGCTCTTTTGTCCAGCTAGTTCTCCACGGGGAAATAATGTCCCGTTCCATTCTTAATTTAAGATGTGATAATGGAATTGGCAGAGAGATGGCTGAGGCAAGTTGTTCATTTGCACTATCTCTTGCCAGTTGGTCGGCTGCTTCATTGCCCACTGTGCCCACATAGGTGCGTGTGTAGTGAAGCTTGGGACGGGTTTTCTCTGGGATAGTGAGTGTTGAATTTCCCTTACTAGTGGCGATCCCTCAGGGGAAGTTATTGGCTCATTAAGATTGAATTGAAAAAGCGTTTATTATTGGAAAATATTTTATATACTTGACTATTTGATAAAGACAATTATAAAACTTTCCAGTTTTATAATAAAAGGATAGGAGGAGTTTGGTACCTTGTCGTGGTCTGAGGGCTCCACCTCCCAAGGGAGGTGGTCTAAATCTCAACTCCAAAGTGATTAACAATGGACCAAAATATTCAGACAGAGAATGTTGTGCAGAATGAAAGAAGATCGTACAATAATAAGCGAGCTTGAGACATGCTTGGAAGATGCAAGTATAGTTACAATAACAATAAGAAAGAAAGTATTTAATACACAAGAAGTGTTGTTTAGTTATTTGGTATTTCAAGCATTAGAAATTGAAAATTTAAAGGGAACATTAGAAGTTTGGGATGAGAAACGACAAAATGAGAAAAATTTGCTGAAATTCTTAAAGAGCAAAAAACAAGTGATAAGAAATTGTTTCCGAAGAAAGATAAAATTAAGAAAACAGAAGAACACGTGGTGTTAATATATCTTAATAAAAAGGGAATTTCTTCAGAGGAAGTAAGATCAAAAGTGGTTGAAGTGATTGACCCAGTTGAGTTGAAGATTGGCATAAAAAATCCTAGGAAAGTGAATAACGGAGGTTTGGCTGTGCAATGTTCGAAGAAAGAGGATATTGTTACACTTGAAGAAGAAATAAAAACGAACTTTCTATTGAGAGATGGCATTCAAGTAAAAGCTCCTAAAAGAAACAGCATAAAATTATATTGTATAATTTGGATGAAGAATTAAATAAAGATGAGATTCTAGAAGCAATTAAGAAATAAAATCAAATATTTGAAAATGGAGGAATTGAACTTTTCTTCAAGATTGAAGCTAAGAATCATAAAGTTCTTCGGAAACAATTTCTTATCACTTGTTTTTTTTGCTCTGTAAGAATTTCAGCAAATTTTTCTCATTTTGTCGATTCTCATCCCAAACTTCTAATGTTCCCTTTAAATTCAACCAGATATTCAACGAGATAAGTTTGGTCCAATAATGAACGAAACTAAAATTAATTTGAAATGGCATAGAATTATAATAAAAGAGTATTTGAATGTCGTTAGATGTTTTAAATGTTAAGAGTTTGGCCACTTTTTAAATAAATGTGTAAAGGTTCTGATATGTGGAAAAGGTTCAAAGGACACAATTTACTGGGAATGTAAAAATGAATCTGAATGCATTAACAAGCGAATAATAAATATAAATTAGCTTTAGAAACTGAGAATTCAAGCTTAGATAAAAATTGTTCCTGTTTTAGAAGACAAATGGATCTTTTAAAAAGAACTGATTATGATGGGTGAGATACCCACAAAATATGATGATTTGAAAAATAAATGATGGATAACCTTGGACTCTGAACTCTTACTGACTATTGTAATATTAACATTAATATATGTAAAAATATTGTTACGAAATTCGTTCCAGGAGGCTCTCCATCCGTCCATGGAATATCGCCAATTTTGTCGTCAAATGGGCGATTTCTTGCCAAATGTGGCAACCCTGCCTTCCATTGCCATTTTATGGAAACCCTAAAACTGCTTTGCGGGGAAGCCATCTTACCGCGCCTGGACATTTCGTAACACTGCCCGCTTCCAAGGACTACACGTCCCGGGAGTACAACCCTTGGTCAGAAGCCAAATTCGATACAACCAAATCGCTTTAAAACATACAGATAACATAACTAAAAAAACAAATATTTACACTATGTGCAAGTTATATACACAAATTAAAGTTAAAAATGAATTTCAGTTTCAGTCTTTTCATTAAAATATATCCGGGTCAAATATTTTTCCACTGCAGTTCTCAGATGCATTTCTGTTTTGCATATCACAGTCTGAAGATATAGTTCTTTCAGACTTTTCATCCACAGGGAGGTCTAAAACAGTTCGTTCACCGCTCTATAGTTCATTCGCAGCATGTGTACATTTCATCTCGATATTTTTAGCAATTGGTATATGCTTTTTTTCCTCCGTTTCCTGGGAACTAGCTCCAAATTCTGCATCAGAGTCATGAACGGAACCCGATTCTTCACAAACACAAGTATTCAGGTTTAGAATCAGGTCCTTGTCTGCACTATCAGCACTATGAGACGCACACATAGTTTGCGAAGTCGGTGAATTTTCTTGCAATACTGGAGCACTCTGCATGAATTGTACATCAGTTTCTCCCATCTCTGCATCACATGCACTTTCAGATGGTTCAACACTTGCTGACTGCGTTCTCATAACTTCACTATCAGTTTCTAGAAACTTCACAGTCGCATTTTCACTTTCTTCAATCTCAGGCACTTGAGAATCAAAATCTACTTTACCGTCTTTTACTCTTCATGTTTTAGTTCTTTATCTTTAATCCCGTTAGTTGTTTCATCTTTCATTTCTTGATCTTCCTCAGACAGTTCATTAGCTACTTTCTTCATTTCTTCATCCTTTGATTTTTCAGAAGCCACTTATCTCATACCCACATCGTCTTTTATGGCTCCAGTTTCTTCTGTAAGCTCCACTTTCACCTGTTGGAGTTGCTTTCGCACCTTTTCTTGGCCGCCATTTATTTCTTCTTGTCAGGCTTTTTTCTCTTTCGGTACGGCTTTCATCTCTTTCAGTCCAGCTTTGATCTCAGCTGTCATCTCTTTATATCCAGCTTTTATCTCATCATATTCGGCTTTTATCTCACCCAGTCCGACTTTCATTTCAGCTCTCATCTCGGCTAAGAAGTCCATCAAAGTCTTCGTTTCTTCCGCCATGGCTTTCCTCTTCAGGCGGGTCACTGGCATTTACTCGCAAATCCCACTTCTGACACCAATCGTTGCATTTTTCTTCTGAGACCAGTTGTTACGTTATTTTCTTCCTTCACGTTCGTACGGGGCTCGTAGATTTGGAGTGAATAACGACGACACTTGATGAAGTATCGAAACACACTTTATTTGGCCAATATCAATCAGGACAGCTCCAAAGTCACTTTTTACAGTCGTCGAAGATCTACTATAAACACGCTGGAACAATCAGCGACACAGCCTTCAGGTTATCAGGCTATCACGGTGGAGACAGCTTCCTGCAAAGCACCCGATTCTGCTTTCCGGAGTACAGCTCTCGACTCTGCTTGGTCGTTCTCGGAACTCCACGTACTCTCGAGACTCTCCACGCTACAACTCGCGATGCACTCGACGACACACGAGCACAGCTCCCGACTCCATGGTTCAGTCGTTCCCGGAGCTCAACATGCTCTCTCGACGATGTACTAACCGCAATACACTAAGAGACTCCTTCGGTGAACTCGACGACCCACTCGGCACTCGCTGCCCGGCTGTCAACTCGATCGACTCCGCAGGGATTGACTCGCTAGA